AAAAAAAAAAAAAAAAAAAAAAAAAAAAAAAAAAAAAAAAAAAAAAAAAAAAAAAAAAAAAAAAAAAAAAAAAAAAAAAAAAAAAAAAAAAAAAAAAACAATTAAATCGTGGTTTTTACTTTTTAATCTTTCGCTCCAGTAAAATTATTTTTGGTTTTGCATCCGGTTAAATAAGGTGTTACCACCTATAGGACTTCAAAACCTCCTATGCCTCGTAAAAACTTGTGCATTTTAGCCTCAAGGCCCGTATTGTCTCGTTTGTGTCTTCGGTATACTAGTTGTGCCTCTTCAAAGATGAGCCAGGTCCATGAGAATATTTTTCCAATCCGAAGTTATTTTTGATTTTAGTTTTCTCTCTCCCTCTCCCCCGCCCTCTCCCATTAGTCTCGCGTGTCCGAGCAAAAATGAATGAAAACCGAAATAGACCCTCGGCTAGGATTTATCTTTAAGCTTTGAGCTATATTTCAGTGAAGGTATAACCTTAAACTTGTCAATTTAATCGGGCCAACCACTTTAAACATTTATATAAAAAAAAAAAAAATAATAATAAAAACTCACTGATGTAAAGATTCGTCTTCGAAGATGTGGAGGTGCATCAGTCCATCTACTATTTCAATTCGGAGACTGCCTGTCACCACGGTTCGATGGACAAACCTACTTTTTGTCATCCCCTTGACCATCCGGGAAACACTCCACACAATCCCTTTAAAACTTGTACCGTTGAGATTTGGCGCCAAGAGAGCTTCACGTATTGGTACGTCAAAGTTGTCGACTAAAACCATCACTTTTCGGTGATGATGTGCTGACAAAAGTTGGGCCAATTTTTCTCCTCCCAGCACAGCCTGCAAAAATAATGTTTTTAACAATAGGAAATTTTGATTTGTATTGTTTTTTTTAGCGCATGTGATACAGTGTGGTTTTGTCCGATTGATAAGAGTTGATGTCAGTGGCTTAGGCTGGCTTTTAAGATTCTCTTTTCAATTCCTGTATAATGACAACCTTTTCAAGCCTATTTAACTAAATATTCAGTTATGGTTGATGTAGACGTCCAGTAGAATGATTTGAGAATTTTTTTGGAACCAATCTTGAGTGCGTTTAAAGGACGTCAATTTCGTTTAAAAGTGCAATTTTATTTCCTGGCACCCATAAATTCATCAAAAGTTATTTTGAGGTTAGGTGTTATTTATTGCATTTATAGATTAACAGGTAAGAAATAGTTGCAGTCATAAATTGAGCAATTTGTAAAAAATACGACTTTTCTCTCCCCCCCCCCCCNAAATTATACCGACATAAAAGAAAGGATGCTGACTAAACATTCTGATGTAAAAAAGTGTGCGAAAACTACAAAACGCTGAGTTAACAGCGACAGCAGTTAGCTTTACATCTTGACATTGTTATAGAAACTGCTGTGGCGGTTTAACCTAGCGTTTTGTGAGTTGTCGCACACTTTTTTACATCCAGAATGTTAAGTCAACATCCCTTTTTTCGGTGGTGAAAAAAGGTATCAATGGCCTAACCAAGAAAATGCGTATCTTAGTTTGCACTTTTCCGACCTCTCGTTATTGTTATTTTTTAAGCAGAGAATAAACTTCCATGATAGCTCTTCTTTATTTCAAGCAAACTCTATAGAAGGTTTATGCCGAAGAGGTTGCTCGTTTTTCTGTCGGAGAGATACATTTAAAATAGGGATGGATATTTTGAAAAATCGCCGTAAGGATACGTGTTTAACACATTAAGACATTTACAAATGTTAAAACTTAATGATAAAGTCTAATTGGATCATACAATTTTGAACTCAAAATAGACTACATACATTTGAAGATAGCGTACTTACCTCGACAAAATTCAGGTTCATAACTTGGTCACGGTAGAGTAAATATTCACCTTTATGGCCTCTGGTGAGCCTCATACTTTTTAACAAGTATTTAAATTTTTCAAAGAGCTTCGAGACCATTACATGAAAAGTGCGTATATAGTCTTCATAAGACTTTAAGGACAAAGATCCGAAGTCGATAAAGATAACAGGATGATAAGCGAACTGGGTCTCGAACAACTCCGGTGATTCTTGCAGTATTCTCAGGGGCGGCTTCGAGAAAGTATCATAGTTTGTTAAAAATGTTGTGGATGCGCTCAAGGATTCCGGGTCACTCGCGTGGGCAGATTTGCTTCCGGTGTCAGTTAGGAATGTTACGCGTTTTGTGGAAATGTTCCAAAGGCCTTTACGCCTCCTTAAGATACCTTGAAAGGTTTCGTCAGTTTTTAGGATCCTTTTTGCGTTAGTAGAGAATCCGTTTGAGTCGACCTCCACGGAAAAGAACTCCTGGAGCATCCGAAGATTTGTAGTTTTGCCAAAACCAGGAGGAGCCTCGATGTAGATATGCCAGTGGTTATCCAGAATGAACTTTATCAGCATGGATTTGTCAATGAATTCGCGTGTCTTCGTTAGTTCTTTGAAGGTGGTATATTTACGCTGTTTTTCGCCGGTATTTGAAGCTTCCTACACAGAGATAATAGACACAAATGAATGAACACAAAGGCAATAATCAAGCACGCGAATTGCATCGATATTTTCTTCAGTGTTTTAAAGGATAAGGATCGATACATAGCATTGAGGATGATATTTTAATGATCCAATTTTTTGTTCTGCAGTTCAAAAGTTTGAACGTGACACGTTTCATTTTTCTATTCATTGAAGTAAGACAACAATTTAACAAATTTGAGAAATCATGAAATGTAGAAATACGTCTAATGAATCCCCTGAAACAAATGGTACTTAAAAATTGTACCACAGAATGTTTTTGCGTTGAGTTATACTTTTTTCACAGTCTGACACCATATAAATCTTGGACTCCTCACAAACGCACCTCAGTTCTATAATAGAGGCATTCGGCTCAATTTTAATCTCGCCTAATATCTAAATCGGTAGACGTATATTACCCTGCTGAAAGACCCCTTAAATATTATTCGGAGGTTGTACTTACTGAAGCAGCTATAATAAGATACAGAAATTGTAAAATCATTTTTTTGGCTCCTCAATGGTTCTAATCTTCTCAGAAAAAGACTCTTCTTTTGCATCTGATCCTTGGAACTGACTGTACAAATTCATCGCAACTCAAGCATCACTCACGAAATGTTTGTTTAGCTTTTTCGCGAAGTTTTCTATCTTGGATAAATCCGTCGGTTTGCAAATTGATCTTTAGAAGAACAAACATTCGTCACAAGGTAAAACTTTCACGACAGTCACTGAACTCTGCTGTTTACTGCAATCTCACCCATTCAACCAGTGTATAACCTCATCATCAGTTTAGATAAATAGTGGTGATAATGACAAAACCCAAACCGTTCCAGTCTTCTTTCCACATGAATTCTAGGCGTAATCGAAAATCAATATTTTGCCCTAAATCATTCCAATTTTTTCAGATGCTAACCTTCATCATTAAAAAGTAATTTTCAATAAAAAATGAAATTTTGTGACTGTAGAGATTAAAGCTGTCCTGGGCCGACATCATACCAAATTCGGTTTGTTTGCAATTCCTTCAAGATACTGATTTAGTGACCTCGTCACTCGATATAATATCGAACTCCTGGTTCAAACCAAAACTAACCAACATAACTTCATGTACGATTTCCTCATGAGTCAACTGTATTAATTTATTATTTAGTCATGGACCAGTCAGAAATCAATTAAGGACTCATTAAATACGAGAAATTTCGATTTTAGTAAACACTTGGACGCATTTTACCATCATTTTGCAAAAGGCGCGAATCAGAAACAAGGTTATGTGTTTGTTTACTTTTGAACCATGACGTAGTCACTAAATCAGTCTACCACTAGTATGTAATCGTATTTTATATTTGCCTTGACCTCGCGCTGCTGTTATTTCTCAGTTTTTGTTTTTTTTTTTAAATAAGAGGATAATGTACGGATATGAGTTGACTTTCTGATTTTATGAAAACATACCTACATATGTTCTTCCATTTATCAAAGCCTCCTAATTAGCTTTTATAGCCCGCTTCATTACCTACAATGTGTATGTCATTGCACGAGCCTTCATTTATAACTGATACAATTTTACATACTTGATAGTTGTGCTGTGATGTATAATCATCCGTTTGAAGGCGTCTCTTAGGTTCCAATTTTCATTGTTATCTCCATTACATTCTTGCCTCGTTGTAACGCACCGACAACACATGTCTATACTCCTTAAAAATTATTCTTTAAAACCGCTTCGTGCGCCATTCCCTCTCAAGTGAGTCTGTTGCGAGAGATAAAGCCAACTGATTGATTACACTTTAGGGTAAATTCGCTCGAAAATCACTACGGGCATATATATAAACAAGCAGTGAACTCCAACACAATGTGTTGATAAGGCGCGTCATTAACTCGCACATATCAACCCCTTTAGTTTTCATTTACAGAGATTTCAAAATAGGCAAACAGCATAAAAAGAGAATTCACGATCCAACACTGCGAGGTCAAAGACGCACCTTGACGAGANGGGGACCAAAAATTTGCTACTTTAGACCGAGGAACATTCCCAAAGTTTCAAACTTCTATCTCAATTTGGAAAAAAGTTACAGGGGTGGTCAGTGACTTTTGGATAACCCTGTATTCTTTTATATGGAAGAGCCTTCCAATAAGCTTTTACAGCCCGCCTTTTCACCCACAACGTGTATGTCTTTGCACGAGCCTTCATTTTTTACTGATACAATTTTACATACTTGATGGTTGTGCTGTGATGTATAATCATCCATTTGAAGGCGTTTCTTATGTTCCAATTTTCATTGCCATCTCCATTGCATTCTTGCCTCGTTGTAACGCAGCGGCGACACAGGTCGACACTCCATAAAAATTATACAAAACGCTTCGTGCGCTATTCCCTCTCCAATGGTTTGTTGCGAAAAATGTAGCCAACTGATTTGTTACACTTTAGGGTGAATTCGCTCGAAAATATATATAAAAGAAAGTCCGATATTCACTCCGCGTGCAATCTGCGCAGTTTATGACACCGTTTCTCAAATTTACCGCGTACGCGGGTAGTTTTTCATGGTGGCCGGCAGTCAGGTTTGCCCGGAGAGAGACAAGACCCGACCTAAATAAACAAACAATCTCGCGAACTGTTACAAACTCTCCTTGCGTAAGATTTGAATTGATTCAAAGCTTTTAAAAGTCCCAGCGCAATTAATTTTAAGAAAGCACTTTCACTGTCATCACCAGGGTGATACTCGTTTGAATTAATCTCGTTTTCCGTGTTGTTTTAGATTTCATAAGGGTCTCAGATGTAGTCGCCGTGCTAATCGAAATCCAGCTATTTTTAAAAATCTCTTTAGGACACTGAGCTTTTTATTTCCACAAAGTTTGAAGCTATGTCTACGACCCCAATTGTTTATACCTCCCAAAATAAATTTCTGCCGAGCTGATTACTGCGACGTTGCCACTTAAATTGTTCAAAAAATAGACGAAGGCGGAGTCACTTACATTATTCAAAAAATAGACCGAGGCGGAGTGAAGCGTTGCCTCTCACTGATTTTTTGTGTCCATTGTAACAGTTCGATTGTCAAACTCGTACAAAATGTCAAGATCTCCGATCGTTCCGTGCGGTTTTAAACCTAACAAGATCGCAACCCGAAATTTACAGTCTGGAAACACTTCTAAACTTTTGTGGTAAACAGGTTTTAGCGTCTCTTCATCAATCGACCCAACCAGGATCCCGATCACAATTCCCGTTTCCGGAGATGGCTTCACGAGGACATCCTGCCGGTCATATTCCGGAGTTTCCTGACCGCGTATCAAGCTAAACTTGCGAGCGTCCGCCACTAAAGTGACCAAGGTGTGCGCCAGTTCTTGTGCACCTTGTGGCGGGCGGTTTCTGAAGAGTTCCGTGACCGCTGCGAAAAAGTTGTCAAAAGACGTTTTCTCTCCAGTCAGGCGTTCGATGCTCTCCACAAAGTTGTCAATGATCTGGCCAGGGATGTTGAGTTTGTTGATGTAGTATCCTCGGTCAAAGATTAAGTTTTTTATGTCTAGCGTTGCTTCAAAGTTCGGCACGTGGAGTCTATTTCCATCTTGAATGGTATAAAATCCCCGGTCGAGAAGAATCTGCAAGACCAGGTTCCTATGGAGGACGGTTTGATTGGAGGAAAATATCGTTCGTCGCAGTAGGTCGAAAAGATTCTGCGGAATCTGCGGTCGCATAAGGAGCCGCGTTTTGTCTTCAAAAGCATCTTCCACGTCTTGACCTAATTTTGTAAAAGCTAGAAGGGTTTTTAAGGATTTGAACTTAATGAACTCAAATCGGTAAGGCTTGAGCACACCTGTCTGGAAGTAGCTTATTGTTGAGAGTGTGTTGTAGATATCATGACCCTTGCTCGCTGTTTTGTAGCCACCGTACCACTTCCTGATGTTTGCGATATTCGTCAGTCCAGAGCGCTTAGCAAGTTCTAAAACATCATAATCAGTGAGGCCGTAATACCTGAGAAGAAATCAAATGATGATATAAGATAAGATGGTATCTTTTGATGTCATAATATAAACTTGAAAAGGGATTATTAATTTACGTATGTCATTTAATTTCCGCGGCTAAAAATAAAAAATATGAAGTTTATCAAAAGCCTGAGTCAGAAAGTTCGTACCTTCTCTGCAATTTGTCTAAAAATAAATGTCTGTTTTAAACAATCTCTTATGTACTTGTGTTTGGATACGAGGAAGGAATTGAAAATTTCAGGAAAGACAGTTGATATGGATTTTTTTCTCTCCCTAAGAAAATATGAGTCATGATGTGAAATGTCGAAAAGACTCAAATGTATAAAATAGAGCTCACCGATGTAAAGATTCGTTATCAAAGATGGGAAAATGCATCAATCCATCTGTAATTTCGATTCGGAGACTGCCTGTCACCACTGTACGATGGACAAACCTACTTTTTACCAGCCCATTGATCATCCGGGAAATACTCCACACAATACCCCTGTAGCTTTTTAGGTCAAGATGTGGCGCCAAAAGGGCCTCGCAAATGGGTTTGTCAAAGTTGTCCACTAAAACTATCGCTTTTCGGTGATGATGTGCTGACAAGAGTTGAGTCAGTTTCTCTCCTCCGTGTGTGACCTGCAAAAATAATGGCGTGTACTATAGGAAGTTGAATTTGTATTATTGTTTGTGCATGTTCTACAATATGCGCAGGCTGTACTTTTTTAGACTCTCTTTGAAACATATTTCAACAACTTCTCGAAACCTGCTTGACAAAATACTTAATTAGGTGAATGTAGACTTCCGTCCGAAAAATATGAGATTGGTTATGGTACTAGCGTTAAAGACGTTTAAAGCAGATTTAAAGTTGAGAGAGTTCTAAATTTCGGCATTCATAATCATTTTAATGGTTAAGGCATTTATTTCATGTTTAGCATTCATAGATAGAAGTTAGCTGCAGTTACGAATTAACCAAGTGATATGAAATATCACTGATCTTGCCTACTTCTTTTCCGACATGAGTGTAAACTCATCCATAAATATAGCCAGGATAAAACGTACTTTCGGTTTTGAGAATTCCTGACTTGTCGTCATAAATAATTTTTTGTAAAAAATGTCATCCTTCTCGGAAACTTCCCTCATTGCTCTTTTTTAATTTCAAGCCTACAAAAATATGGAAGAAAGTTGGGTTCAATCTCCATAATTTTAAAAAGATATTAGGAGTGGATGTATTTTGAAATACTGCAATCGAAATAAGTGTTTTCCGAGTTAAGAAAGCCATATTTTGTAAATAGTTCATAAACGAATCCATAACTTTCTCCGTAATGTAAAAACATAAGAGAAACGCGTAACGCACAATGCTTGGGGGGTTTGGCCGTGAAGCGGTCAGTGCCCAACGGATCATAAAATCTCGTACCCAGAGTAAGTTAACGTACGATTCTAACGGGTTTATACAGGGTGAACTAGAGTTAAACGGACAGCCTGTAGGAGTCGAAACATCCCCAAATCCCCTCTTTCAAGTGAGATTTAGATTTTTTTTTTTTGGATCATTTGTGAATTTAGGACATAAAATCACAGGGGAGTACAAATTTTTATGAGATTTGGTTCACAACCGTTGCCAAAATTCAGGAAAAACGATTTACTTTCCAAAATTTGGGGGGGGGGGCGTTGCTCCGACTGGGGGCTTTTTTGGAAAAAACTTTAAACAATAAAAAAAATCTCATAGATCGTATTCGATACATCAAACGGGTGAGATTGTATCGATATCGATTGGTTCAAAACATAAACATAACCTCAAAAGTTAATTCAGAAATCTGAGAGAACGGGTCTTTTGTAAAAGATGTTTTATTCTCTTGAGTACCAAATGCCCATGTACAGTGAAATTGTCAGGAAATTTCTCATTTTCAGCTTTTACAACTTAAATCCTTACAGTTTGGTTTGAGGTTATGTTCTATTGTTTTGAACCAAACGGTACATCGAACCGTTATCGAATACGGTCTATTTTCACCCATAAAACACGCTCCTGCAGTCTGGTCCTATAACCATGGATTACCCTGTATAGTCATACATTCCAAGATAGTGCACTTACCTCGTCTAAACCCAGTTTCATAACTTGGTCACGGAAGCGGAAATATTCATCCTTATTGCCTTTGGTCAGCCTGTGACTTTTCAACAAGTATTTAAACTGATCGAAGAGCTTCGAGATCATTATTTGAAAAGTGCGCACGTAGGCGTTGTAGGACTTTGTGGACAGTTTTCCAAAATCCATGAAGAGGACTGGATGACGAGCGAAATGGGTCTCGAACAACTCCGGTGCTTCTTTCAGTATTCTAAGGCGCGGCTTCGAGAAGGTATCATAGTTCGTCAAAGAGTTTATGGAGGCGCTCAAAGGCTCCCTGTCATTCACATGGGCAGATCTGCTTTTGGTGGCAGTTTCGAAAGTTACACGTTTTGTTGAGGTGTTCCGAGGGCCAATACGTTTCTTTAAGATATCCTGGAAGTTTTCGTCACTTTGTAGGATCTTTTTCGCGTTGATGAAGAATCCGTTTGAGTCCACCTCCACGGAAAAGAACTCCTGGAGCATCCGCAAGTTTGTGGTTCTGCCGAACCCTGGAGGCGCCACGATGTAGATATGCCAGTGGTTTTCCAGAATGAACTTGATCAGCAGGGATTTGTCAATGAATTCGCGCGTCTTAGTGACATCTTTGAAGGTGGTTTTACGTAGTTTTTCGCCGGTATTTGAAGCTTCCTATGGCAAAGAATAAAAATAATTGATTGTTACTTTAAAGAAACTGCCTTTCAGCGCGGATTTAACTATGAAAACAAAGAGCCGTATGCAAAAACGACATTTTTCGCCCCCCCACTAAAACTTATTCAAACTTCGTCTATCAGTTACTAATACTGGAGCGCTTCTTTCCCCAAATTTTCAGACCCCCAAAAAATTTTGGGGAGGCGCTAGGGGGGGTGGAAGTCAAAACCTGTGACCCTCGATATCTTTCGAACGAAACAAGATATTGAGGCCCGGTTTGGACGAAAAATCGTCTAAAATTGCATACTATAAGATTCTAAAGGTCAAAATCCCAAAATTAAATTTTTAACTTAACTTATGTGCTTTTTTTCAGTTTTTGAGGAAAAAAAATTTCTTTTAAACAGATTAAACTGAAATTTCACATTTTTTTATTTGAACCAAAACCAGTTTTTTAAATTGTTCGTCTTTTTCCGCATCCAACGAGTGGTCGTGTAAGCTGGAGAACCGAACAGTTCCGGAGTTATAATCGATTGAAGTTTCCGCTCAACGCGCGCCGACCGATTTTCGCGCGCAAAAAAGTCGGATTTGACTGTTATTAAATCAGATTTAATGTTCAAACTGAGCAAAATGCATTATTAGGGACCCTTGAGGGTCGCTGAGTCCAGAAATTACAGATACTTCCAAAAAATTCACGCTTTTAAAATTACAGCTCCCTAGCGCTATTTTAGAGGCCCACTGAGCGCCGACCGGCCACTCAGTGGTCCTGTGCGGAGCTGTAATTTTAAAAACGTGAATTTTTTGGAAGTATCTGTAATTTCTGGACTCAGCGACCCTCAAGGGTCCCTAATAATGCATTTTGCTCAGTTTGAACATTAAATCTGATTTAATAACAGTCAAATCCGACTTTTTTGCGCGCGAAAATCGGTCGGCGCGCGTTGAGCGGAAACTTCAATCGATCATAACTCCGGAACTGTTCGGTTCTCCAGCTTATACGACCACTCGTTGGATGCGGAAAAAGACGAACAATTTAAAAAACTGGTTTTGGTTCAAATCAAAAAATGTGAAATTTCAGTTTTATCTGTTTAAAAGAAATTGTTTTTCCTCAAAAACTGAAAAAAAGCACATAAGTTAAGTTAAAAATTTAATTTTGGGATTTTGACCTGTAGAATCTTAAAGTATGCAATTTTAGACGATTTTTCGTCCAAACCGGGCCTCAATATCTTGTTTCGTTCGAAAGATATCGAGGGTCACAGGTTTTGACTTCCACCCCCCCCTAGCGCCTCCCCAAAATTTTTTGGGGGTCTGAAAATTTGGGGAAAGAAGCGCTCCAGTATTAGTAACTGATAGACGAAGTTTGAATAAGTTTTAGTGGGGGGGGGCGAAAAATGTCGTTTTTGCATACGGCTCTTTTGTCTACAAGAAACTACGCTAAAAGTAATAATAATATATCAAGAATTTTTTTCAGTGAGAGTTATAGAGTTTCATTTTTTAATGAAGCATACATCCTAGATTCTCAGTGGTTCTATTTCCTCCCCGTAGTATAACAAGGAAAAGTGACAGAAGAAATGAACTTACTATGACGGAGAAGATCAGAATCAGCGCAGGCAGAATCATCTTTCTGGTTCTTTAAGAAGGCCAATCTCCTGAAAAAAAATCTGGTTTTTTGCATTTGATCCTGGGAACCAGATGTGTAGATTCATTACAATTCAGCAATTAGAGTCAAACATCACAAAATTAGGTATCCCTTTAGTTTTTTGTGGTTAACGTTCTAATGTAAAAGAGGTTTCGTTTTCTATGTAATCGTCTTAGATGAGAATACAAATATCATCACAATTCGACGGCTTCAAAATAGAAACTGAACTTTTACTCTGGCTTTTTTGTTTCTGAAATCTCTTCAACTCACTTGGTGCATCATATCATTTTAATTTTAGATGGATAACGCTGATAAATTAAAATTCAATGAAAATCGGAAACATTGTTGTCATAAAATGAGCTGCAGCTCTCTTTATCTCAACTCCTCGTTTATTTTAATGATGACGTTGATATCAATTCGGGTCATTTTTCATTTAGATTGTTTCGGACAACACCCTCAACTTTACGACATACCCGCAGTGATAATTGATTAATGCATGCGCAGGAGGAACCTTTATTGAATTAAATGCCCAAATCTTGCTCATTTTATCACTTTGATTCATTTATCACGCGATTGCGCTTACAAGTTGGCACGTGCGTAATAAAAATTACAAAAAGAGGAGTTTGCCCTCATTATCAGTTTCACTGCTTTATCAACACACAGATGACAAGGAGCGTAAGTAGTTACTACCCATTCGAAATCGTCTTTAAATTGTGATCGAACCAACAGACAATGTGGACGAAAACCTTATTTTGGGAATGTGACGTAACGTATGTAAAATGACTAGAGACCCTGCGTTGACGAATGTATCAGAATCGCGTACATTTTATGGACCATGATTCAGATATCTTTACTTCGTGCTCTAATACTTTAAGAAAAGCGAAAAGAAACTCAGATATGTAGCAGTTGATTTAAAAACCTTATGGCACGGTCACCTATGGAAAAAGATCAATTATCAGGGCACGCCGTAATAACCGATTCTTTAACAGAGCTTCAGATGGATAATGATCGATAACAGATGATTCAGTAGGCCCTCTATAAGTTTGCGTCGCAAATTAAGTACCTGAAACTTATTCACATTCTGACCAGCCTGTTCCTTTCTTCCTCTTTTTTGTTCCCTTTTTTCACCTCTAATCATGTCAGTATTTTGTAACCCTCTTTTCTCCTCCTCTAACAGAAAAAGGAGAAAACTGCGGGCTCGATATTTTGTGTTCTCTTTGCTGTGAATAAGACAATCAATCTATCTAATCTCAGAGTTCCGCCCGCGATAGCAGCCTCGCACCCTTTTTTGAGGACTCTGAATGAGGACCCAATTTGTAGGAGGATCAGCCATTTTAATGGAATTGCGAGAGTCTCCGCGGGAACATGTGGACAGGAGGGAAGAAAAAGAAGTAGGCTGCGTCCCCGTATCAAAATGCTTTCTAGTTTTGTTAGGTTTAATTCTAGTGTAGATGTATGCTTTGGTTTTGCTGATTTAATTGGGTATTTTAACTAAGCTGGATCACCCTCTATAAAAATAAATCTATTTTAATCGGTTTTTTCCTAATTGGTATTTTCTTTTTTTCTGTTCCAGGTAAGGATAACTCTCAAAATGTTTTGAGTTGTGGTGTCTGCTGTCATTAGAAGGTAAACAAAAGCTCGTTACATAAATTCTGATATGTATATGAATATTTATTAGAGACTTGGAGGTGTGCGAAAGCGAAAGGTGTTCGATGGTGTATGAAGGTTTCAGGACATGTTGTCAGCGATTGTTTGTCCGCGCACCTTTTTTGTCCAGTAGTTTACGCCCACACGTAAAGTAAGCAATAGTGATTTGGTCCAAGCGTTATATTTTAGTCGGTATGTAAAATTATATTGACAATATGGAAATGAGAAATTGAGAGAGAAGGAGGTGTTGTTATGGTTGCTCATTTTCTAAATGAAATGTTATTACTTTCTCCCTATGAATCATCTTTTTAAATTGTCATTGCTGAATATTTGGTTTTATTTCCATCCTTAAAATATTCGATGTACAATATACCTTGTATATGTATCGGTATTTTTTTAAATTTTTTCTTTACGAAATTATTACTTCATTTTGAAAACATTTATATTTTTAAAACGTGGCAACGTTTTAGAGTCAAATACGTCAAACTTTGAGCGCTTGGTTACGCGTACACCTCGCTGCAGCACAATAAAAGCACACATGTAAAAGAAAAAATTAAAGTGCTTTGGAAATCATTAAATTTGACACGGCACCACCAATATTTAAAAAACACACATTACATTATTATTTTTCTTTGATAAATTGATACATATTTTTTCCCCATCAATTTAAACCAGAATAATCAATGCAGAGTGTGCAAACGTTTTAAAATCATGAGCAAAAAAACGCTGACTATGTGAGTATAAATATTAAAGCCTAACAGAGCGGAAACATTGTGGAACTCCTAAGATGTGTAGTTTCTTTATTTTTCGCGTGCTCTTATATTCTTAGAAAATTTCTTCGATTTTTTTATTCGTCGTTTAAGGAAACACTTTGTCACATCCTCACAAGTCACAAAACCTCTATACTTTGCCTCAGCTGTTTGATTAATTCTACTGACTCAACCTGAGTATAACGACATATTTTTTTTATAACGATTTTATATGACAAGCATTGATAGTAACGGTAGTATGTAGAATGAAAAAATAAAGACCTTAAAACATTCTTCTTGAAAATCCGTAATAGTTTTTTATTTATTTAATTGGTTTGGAGGTCGATTTGACGTCAAAGTTCTGTATGATCATGATGATAGAGACGATAGAATTATTCTCCTCTTTGTCTCTTCTTTCAAAACACTCTGTACCTAAGTCCCTCAAAATAGAAATCTAGTCCCTTTATCAAATTCAAAATAAAATGCAATAACATTTTATACTACTATTTTACTTTAATGCGGGTTTTAATAAGTTCATTTAACTTGTTTCACATTTTATGATCCCATGAATTTTTAAATATCCATAAAATACTGACTTCATACACAAAATGTATAATATCCAACCCCCCCCCCCTCCATTTTCTTGAGACCTCTTACTCCTCATGTCTACATTACCAAATTTGCAATCAAAAATCGTGGTCACAAATATATCGAGTCTTATTTTTCTTAGAATTCATTGCGAAACATTCCTTTTGAAAACTTTTCTGAGATCTTAAGTTATTAATAGTCAAATTGTTCGCTGTTGTCATTCTAGGTTTTTAAATAACAGACAGATATATGTAAATAAAGTTTTTGCTGTCTTAAAACCCACTCTTTCATTATACAAAAGTTTCATCACATTGAGAGCCTAACTCATTGTCCGTATCAAACAGTCGCTGACGCCAAAAGCGTGTGTCCTCGTGAGCGCCTTCATTCCTGAGTGATACAATTTTACAGACTTTACTGTACCATGTATACTCACAAGTTTGAAGGGACTTTTTATATCTGATTTTCTCAAGTGTCTCATTTTCAAACTAAAGTGTTACCAACAACATGCACGATAGTTTGACACTAGTCTTGGTCATGAATTTTCTTATCCGTTCTGAAGTAGTCATCATTGAAGATTCATAATTTTATATTCAAGAGCTGAAGAAACGTTATCAGCAATTCTAGAAAAATCGAGTTATTTGCATTCTCGGTATATTTATATCGTAATTACGCGTAAACGCCTTGGCTATGACATGCAACGTCAAGCCCGAGATTCAGGGTTTTTAAATTTGCAAAATACGTTGCAGACAATGGAATATAGTTGTCACACGGTTTTCCCCTGATTTCTCGAATCGGAGAAAATGTTGTTTCGGTTCTTCAGTCCTGAACTACAGAATTTTAACATTTATGAGTTAGCAGAAGCATAGCCTCATTCGATAAAATATTTAAATGCTCGGTTCATGTTGATGCAATACAATTACAAAATAATTTAGATAAAAAGCTTACTCTTTTCGAAGAAGTATTATTGATGATATAGGCTCTCTGATTAAAGCAGGTTGACAATTGTTTAAAATTCAAAAGTGCCGTCGGACGGGATTGGGAAACTGAGATGAGACTGTCCCAAAATGATCGATGGTGATTAAATAAATTACGATGGAATTTATTCCTTAATTTTCTTAGCTTTTACGCAGCAGAAAGTTTTGCCTCATTAAATCCCTGCATCCTTGCGTGTATTGTGTCCGTGCACCCTTTTTGTGCCCACATATTTCAAGGTTTAGCTGGCTTCAATCGACTGTGGTTGTCGAAGACAGGGTGGATGATGTGACAACATGACCGATTACAATTTTCTCTTTTCTTGTCATGGCACCATGGTTTACGTGTGCCTCATGATGGATGTGTTCACTCCTCTCTACGACGGATTGGATTTCGGACGGTAATATTTCGGTGAATAAAACTTCAAGATCTCCACCCTCCTCGCCCGGTTTCAGACCCAGCAAGACGGCAACCTTCACCCGACAGTCATGAAAGACCTGTAAACTCTTCGTGAAAACGGGTTTCAGCGCCTCATCGTTGACCGACCCAACCACGATCCCTATTACGATCCCCATTTCATCTGACCGCTTCACGAGGACATCTTGTCGGGTGCCATCTGAGGTCTCCTCGCCACGCACTTGGCTGAACTTTCGAGCATCGGTCGCTAAAAAGACCAAGGCGTGTGCCATTTCGCGCGCACTTCGCGGCACTTGACCCCTGAAAAGCTCTATGACCGCTCTGGAAAAGTCGTGGAAAGGCCCGTCCTCCCCACTCAGTCCCTCTATGCTTCTCACGAAAGCGCGAATGATCTCTTTCGTGATTTTCAGTTTGGCGATGTAGTATGTTCGGTCGAAGATTAGACTCTTGATGTCATGCATAGCTTCGATGTTCGGCACTTTTAGTTTATTTCTGTTTCCCATGGTGAAAAAACCATGGTCGAAGAGGATCTGCAAAACTAGGTCTCTCTCGTCGAGTGGTCGATTAGGGTTGAAGATTGTCAATCGGAGATCTTCGAAGTGACCATACTCGATCTTCTCTCGGATGACAAGTGTTGTGTTGTCCTCGAAGGAGTCCTCGACATAACGGCCTGCTCGAGTGTAGTTCAGCACTTTTTTGAAGGTTTTTAATTTGTTCGACTCATTTTGATAAGGCTCGAACTCGCCAGTCTCGAAATACCGTATTGTTGAGCGTGTGTTATAGAGACAGTGGCCCTTACGTGTGACTTCGTAGCCGCCGTACCAACTTCTGACGTTGCTGATGTGTTCTTGTTTGTTAAATCTTCTCGCAAGTCGAGCGATATCGTTTTTCGTGAGGCCATAGTACCTGAAAATGAAGATTTATCATTCGAAATTAGAGTGATTTTAGAATCAAATTAATTTCAATTTTAAACTTTGAATAAGCCTAAAAGATAAAAGACCTTACTTTCAGGAGATTCACTGTTTTCTCAGGTTTTTGTAAAAACAAAGAACTTCTGAGGCTCTTGTCTGATCCGAAACCAAGGATATCTTTAGATCATGTATTTTGACTTTTTCCGCAGAAAATATCTAATTATAGGATGTTCCAACTGCAGATTATACAGCTATATAATATGACGTCATATAGTGATTATATTGGAAATTGATAGCGATATTTGCAGAACTAATAAAATTGTAATTGATTTGATGGTGAAATAATGTTTTAAATGGATCTAACCTAATACTGAAATAATTTCTCACAAGAAAATTTCAGACAAAAAGAGGAACAAAAACCAAAGTGGTTAGAAAGTCTTAGAAAATCAGACGTAGGTTTGCAGTAATCTTTTGCGTTATAAAAAATATATATTTTCCCACATTCCATCTTCATAAATTTTTTTTTAAGAAAATCTCGTTCCAAAAAAAAAAATTAACATTGAAGGTTATTTGAAAAAAAAGGCTGAGATAACTACACTGCAGGTTTAGTGAGTGTCTATAGAACCTTTCTGTAATTTCAGTAAATGCAAACGATTCGCTTAAGAGATGTTGTTTTAATCACGAGCAAAAATGTTCTTCGATCAAAAAAAAAAAAAAAGCTCACCGATACAAATGTTCATCGTCGAAAATGGAAAGGTACTTTAATCCATTTGTGATGTCAATCCTAAGATTGCCCGTCACCACGATCCGAAAGACGAACTTGCTTTCTACTTGCAACTCGACAAAATGAGAAGCACTCCACATGATCCTCTTAAAGATTACCTCGTCCAGGTGCGGCACCAGCAGAGCCTTACGAATGGGCACATCGAAGTTGTCCACCAAAACTATCGATTTTCGGTCATGATGAGCTGACAACAGAAAAACGAGTTTCTCTCCCCCAAGAATGACCTGTAAACAGAGGTGTCGTGTCAAACTAAAAGGTTAAGTTTTGAGTAACCTCTCCAAGTAGATTTAGCTCTTATTCTCAATAACTTAGCCACGCTTAGAATCATTTTTTATGGTTTACTTTTTTTGTGTCATTATAAATAAACCGCCCTGTCTGAAAACTGATGCCCGTGCATAATATTAGTGAAGCCATTGCCATGACAATCGAAAACACAGGAAAATGCGGAAACAAGGCTAAAATGCAAAAATGTTTCCATTGCCATAACATTAGCATCGCATTCAGACCGCGCATAGAATCTGCCACCCTAATCTCATCCACGGGCACTAGGCCAAGTGGCCACTGTAAGTCAGAGTCTGTCATCTGTTCTTACTGTCTATGCTGGCAGATTTTTAAGAACAGGAGATGCTGACCTACTTTCTTCAATTTTTTGGCGTGATGGAGACGATTATGTTGCCTTGGATGGTCCGTTTACAGAATTCCAGTGCACTGGAAGTGCCGGTGCTATGTGCCTTCCAGTGCCATGGCTGCACGGAAAAATTAGAATTAGGTCAAGACTGCGTTCTTTTTTTCTTCTTTTTTTTTATCAATTTTTCGGCAAAAAATGAGTCCATGACGATTAACACGAATAAATTATGAGGTCAGATAAGTACATTTTGTATGATCAGAGCTCATATTTAACTCTTGTGACATTAAACAGACTTCAAATATAATTAAAAGTTCTGTACGTACCTCGTCTATACTCAGTTCTTTGTGCTGTTCTTGGTCATGGAAGAGTAAAAATTCGTCCTTGGAACCTTGAGTTAGAGCGCTGCTCTTAAGCAAGTACTGAAATTGCTCGAAGAGCTTCGAAACAAGTATTTGAAAGGAACGTACGTAATCTTGGAAGGACTTCGTAGATAGAGCTCCAAAGTCGACCAAGAGAACAGGATAGCGTGCGAACTGAGTCTCGAAAAGATTTGGAGATTCCTTATGTATTCTTAGTGGCAACTTGGAGAAGGTATCGTAGCTCCTCAGAGGGTTTGCAAAAACGCTGAAAGGTTTTGTGACGTTCACGTAGGCACATTGACCTTTGGTGTCGGTTACAAAGGTTCCACGTCCTGTCGAGGTGTTCTGACGGTCGCCCGCGCATCTTTTCAGGGCGTCTTGGAAGGTCTCGTCCGATTTTAAAATCTTCACCGGATCAATGAAATTTCCACCCGAGTCCACTTCCAAGGAGAAAAACTCCTTGAGCATCTGCAGGTTGGTTGATTTACCGAAACCTGGTGGAGCTGCTATGTAGATGTGTCTGGGGCTATCCAGAATATGTCTGATCAGCAGGGATTTGTCAATGAATTTAGGTGTCTTTGTGAGATTCTGGAAGGTGGAGCGTTTAGGTTGTTCTTCGTCGATATTTGTAGCTTCCTGGAAAAAAGGCAGAAGACAGGTTTCGTTGAGCAGTTTTTAACTTAACTCACAATCATGAAATGTGAAAACAAATAAAAAAACGAAATAAATTTGACTTATACTAAAACTTGACCACAAAACAGAATGTTTCACAGAATGTATAATGACATGATGGATTTTATGGTGAGGCCATGGTGTAAAGATACGTGCGCAGGCGTAAACTTGAAAATAAACGATGTATATTACTTTTCAAATTAAATCGTCGAATTTAAGAGTTGGTACAGATTTTGAGTCTCATTCTTTAATAAAGCATACACGCTAGATTCTCAGCGGTTCTTTTTCGCTCTCTAGAGGATAACAATGAAAAGTAAGAGAATAAATGAACTTACTGTGACGAATAAAATCAGAAACAGCGCTACCAGAACCATCCTTCTGGTTCTTTAAAAATGCCAATCTCCTGAAAAACAATCTTGTCTTTTGCATTTGATCCTGGGAACCAGATGTGCAGATTCATTACAGATCAGCAATTAGAGTCAAACATCCCAAAATTAAGTATCCCTTCAGTTTTTTGTGGTTAACGTTCTCATGTAAAAAAGGTTTCATTTTCTATGTAATCGTCTTAGATGGGAATATACAAATATCACCATCCGACGGCTTCAAAATCGGAACTGAATTTTTACTCTGGCTTTTTTGTTTCTGAAACATCTTCAACTTACTTGGTGCATCATATCATTATACTTTTAGATGGATAGCGTTGATAAACTATAAATCAATGAAAATCGAAAACATTGTTGTCACAAAATGAGCAGCTCTCTTATCTCAACTCCTTGTTTATTTTAATGACGACGATGACATCCATTCGGGCCATTATTCATTTAGATTGTTTCCGACGACACCCTTAACTTTACGACATACCCAGTGATAATTGATTAATGCATGCGTGGGAGGAACCTTAATTGAATTAAATGACCAAATTTTGCTCATTTCATCTTTTTGATTTATTCAAAACGCGATCACACTCGCAAGTTGGCACGTGCGTACTATAGATCACAAAAAGAGCAATTTGCCTCAATAATTAGTCTCTTTGCTTTATCAACATACAGCTGAAAAGTGGCGTAAGAAGTTACCTATTCGAAATATACTTGCATCTGGAGCTTTAAAGTATGATCGAACCAACGGAAAAGGTGGACATTCGGTGGCATATTTCGTCCACTTAGGGTCACCAGCACCTCCAATCTCGGAACATGTGGAGGTTTCAGGGCATTCCGTCAACGGTTTTTTGTCCGCACACCTGTTTTGTCTAGTAGTTTACGTCCACGCGTGAAATAAGCAACAGTGACTTGGTCCAAGTGTCATATTTTAGTCCGTATGTAAAATTATATTGGCAATAATGAAATGAGAAAATTGAGAGAGACGGAAGAGTTGTTGTGGTAACTCATTTTTTAAATGAAATGTTATCTCCTTCTTTTGATTAATCTTTTTAAATTGTCATGGGTGAATATTTGGTTTTATTTCAATTCGTAAAATTTTCGATGAAAAATGAACCTTATAAATACTTTTTTCTTTAATGAAAATATTACTTTATTTTAAAAACATTTACATTTTTAAAACCTGGCAAATATTTGTAAAACCTATCCAAGCGATGACATCGATATTAAAGTCAATGAGCAGTAGTTATGTCGAAAGAAACTATGCACAAATTAATAAAAAAGGGAAAAAACCGAGAAGCACGCAATCTTCGGTTTTAGCCCATTTGTACATCCATCTTTCAGAGTCAAATACGTCCTATTTTGAGCGTTTGGTTGCGCTCACACCATGCTGTAGCACAGTAAAAGCACAAAATATGAAAGAAGAAATTAATGTGCTTTGAAAATCATTAAATACGACAAGGAAACACCTTTTTATTTACAAAACACACATTAAATTTTCCTTTCACTTATATTTTTTTTTTATCAATTTAAATTAAAGTAATCCATGCAGAGTGTGCAAACATATAAAAATCATGAGTTGAAAAAGGCTGACTCCGCGAGTTTAAATAACAGGCCCTAGCTTAAAGCGGAGTGTTGCCATGTGCTGCCAGCATGAAACGCGCAAGGCGCCTACAAACCTAAGCAGATACTTCACGCATTGCGCAATGCTTCAGGTATCCCTTAGGTTTGTAGGCGCCAATGCGCGTTCCGTGCTGGCTGGCTGGCCGCGCCGCACATTGGTTCCAGAGCCCGATCTAGGCGGCATTAATTCGAAAAAATTACTTTTGAAAAAATTGAAAAATAGTACAACTGGTCGACACTACATACTCTGGAGGGTATTTCGACCAAATATCATGATGATTGGATGAGTGATAAGGAAATGATAAGCTCCTAAGGGTGAGCGCGCAGGCCGTTCTCTCTGCGGCTGTATCCATTTCCTCATTTATCTCATTCGAGTGATGTTCCTAATAGAGGTTTATCGCCATTTTGGGCAAAGAAACAAGGTTTTGAAGGTAGAATCCTAATATTCAAGTGAATTTGAAGGTTTACGATGTTTAAATCATAACTTTAGATTAAGTCTATGGCTCTAGATAAACCATTAGACATAGCGCTATTTTACGTTAATTTCGCGTAATTTTCCATATAAATGGCTGAAAACAACTACTTTGCCGGCCTTTGCCGGGTCTCAAACGGCCATTTCTAGTTAGTACTAATCCTAGGCATGATGTAGAGACAAATATCTTTTGCCAGTTTTTGCCTATTTGTGAAATACAGACTTTTAAAGGTCGCCCGCTTAGCCCTCATGAGTACTGTATGTGGGACGTTACGGGTGGGCGATATCGTTCGACCACTCAGGCAATGTCAAAAAAATACTTCTTTCCATGATATTCATTCAGAAGGAAGTTTATTCAATCGGTTTTCCAAAGAATTACACAAAAATATCACTTCCACGGGCTAGCAAAACTCTGAGGAGATCAAAATATTTCGTGTTAAAAATGATCTAATACTGCTAAAACGGCCAAAAGCAACTACTTTGCCGGCCTTTGCCGGGTCTAAAGCGGCCATTTCTAGTTAGTACTAATCCTAGGCATGATGTAGAGACAAATATCTTTTGCCAGTTTTTGCCTATTAATTGTGAAATACAGCCTTTTAAAGTCGCCTGCTCAGCCCTCATGAGTATTGGATGTGGCTCGCGTGACGGGTGGGTGATATCGTTCGACCTCTCAGGCAATGTCAAAAAACTATTTCTCTTATGATATTCATCCAAAGGGAAGTTTATTTAATCGGTTTTCCAAAGAATTACCCAAAAATATCATTTCCATGGGCGTGCAAAACACTGAGGAGATCAAAATTTTTCGTGTTAAAAATGATCTAATACTACTAAAACGGCCAAAAGCAACTACTTTGCCGGCCTTTGCCGGGCCTCAAGTGGCCATTTCTAGTTAGTACTAAGTAATTCTAGGCATGGTACAGCAGAGACAAATATCTTTTGCCATTTGAAGCGAAAAAAATATATTACAACATTTTAAATTTAAGGTTGCTCTGGAATTAAAAAATCAACAGGCATTGCAGTTTCGTGAATTTTTTCCTGCTCACTGGTCAAAATGGTTTGATAGGGGCGACACCCTTTTATTGAATTTTTATACTGCCATTTCTGAAACTGCAACCAGAAGTAGATTCCAAAAACAGATCGTGCTGACCGGATGCTTCGTGAAGTTATTCAATGTAACAACACCCCTCCCCCCCCCTCTTCAATAAAAATAACCATCAGGGCCTAAATATTAGTAAAATAGTAGATCGCTCTTGATGACCATAATCATTAAATTTGTCAAGATTATCATAGTTCAAGCACAGAGCCACGTTGTCAAATTATTAATCCCGTGTTGAGTGCGAATTTGCTATTTTACGCATATTTACCATATTATGGTTAACGATAGGGTCAAATCGACTTTAAATTCGTGATCAGCGACCCAAAAAACATACCTAAGCATATGTTGCACGCTGGTAAGGGTGATATTCTAATTAATGCCGCCTAGATCGGGCTCTGGAACCAATGTGCGCCGCAGCTTGCCACGTGCCACGGCGCTTTACTATTTCACTATAGAGGTGTTGTACAGTATTACACGAAATTGAAGGCACTCTAACATACCAACAATAAGAATGACAGGCATTCTTTAAGAGGACGGAACTTTCCTTGCAAAATAAGTCGAGATAAGAGAGATATAGGAACATTCTTGAGTATGCCGTCAAGAAGATTTTATTTTGAATCAAGAATAAAATAGGTGAACAAAAGCGGGTTTCTGCTTGATGTGACTTTCCTTTTTATAAAAGCATCTTTTCTTCTTTAAGAAAACATTATTGTCTTTATTAACACATGGAAATCTTCTCGGCGGTAAATTCGAGAATATTTCTCCTTAAATTAGGTCACTTGTTCCTCTAATGAAGTTAAAAATCATACTAACCGTTATTTAATACAGATACGAGGACAGTAAGTTTTTCGACTACTGCTCTCTTTTTGTTGTCGTCACTCGATTTAATTTGCGAGGGAACTTCGTGCTTTTGAAAGATACCATCAATCATGATACGTTGGGGTGCCTTCGATCTCATATGATACTGTGCAACACGTCCGTGGCGAAATAGTAGCTCGAAGAGCTGCGGCAAACCAGTGCCAAAGCGAAGTTATCATGCACAGGAAAAATATGAGATAGTTTAGCTGAGGCAAATCAAAATGTTTTCCAGTGTAGGTATAAAAATATGGGATTTTCTTGAAAGATAATTAAGTCCTGTTGCACCAAAGAAGTGTAGAGAGTTTTAGTGAATTTTTTCTCATGGAAATGACGCTCCCTCATTTTTACCAAAAATCTCAATTATATATTTTTCTCCGTTGGAGAGAGAGAGAGAAAAAAAAACTAAACAAAAAAAAACAAGCAAACCCTCATTCTTCTAAGAAATTAAACATTTTCATCCAAAAACGTCGTAAGCAATTGTCGTTTGTATTTACATGTGGACCAATTAACTTTGGGTCTCAAGTGGTAAGTGGACCAAAACTTCCCTTCCGAAAAAACGCGTGGACGAAACTACTGGGAAAAACAGGTGCGCGGACGCAAAAAATCGTTGACGAAATGTCCTATAACCCATGTGGACTGGAGGGAGGAAAAAAAAATTAGGCTACGTCCCCGTATCAAAATGCTTTCTAGTTTTGTTATTTTTAATTCTAATGTAGATGTATGCTTTGGTTTTGCTAATTTTATTGGCTATTTTAACAATGCTGAATCACCTTCTGTAAAAATAAATCCATTTTAATCGGTTTTTTCCTAATTGGTATTTTCTTTTTTTCTGTTCCAGGTAAGGATAACTCTCAAAATTTGTTGTGGTGTGGTGTATGCTGTCACTAGAAGGTAAAAAATAGCTCATTAGAAATCCCGTCAGTCTGCATGCCAGGCTTTCTTTCTTCTTTCTTACGTCTGACGTGTAGCCATAAACAACACGAGAACAGGCACAACCGAAGCACGAGCAAAAACCCTAATCTGCAGCTAAAATGCATGTTTTTAATCAATTCTGTAAATGTTGCTTGATGGGACTGATGACTTCATACGTCACAAGCCGGATGATTATCTTAGTTTTGAATATATGTTTTTCTACAATTGTCTAAAGCAGAAAAAGATAATGAAAAATACTTCGAACGCAGATATCGAGATAATACGCATATAAACACAGGTAATAGAAATTGCCTAACTAAAATTTGCAAGGCGCTTTCAAGAGTGAAGTTACTTGATAGTTTATTTTCATCAGGTCTCCTGGTCTCCTCTTTTTTTTCAGGAGGCTCGCAGTCCAAGACTTTATCATACAGGGTGATCCAAAAGTCCCTTCCACCCCCTCTAACTTTTTACCTAATTGAGGTAAAGATTTGAAACTTGGGGGATATTCCTAGGTCAAAGGGAGCTACTTTTTGGCCCCCCTAAAATTTTCAGGGGGGCCCCCCTTGGGGGGGCAACGGCCCCCAACTTTTAATTTTCAAATGGGAAGACCCCCTTTGTGATAGCTCGTTCGAAAGAGCATAAAAAAAGAAAACTTTTCGCGCAAACCCGAAGTCAATATCTCAAACCGTTTCAAAATGGCGGCCGGTTAAAGTTCAAAATGGCCGAAAATTCACACCGGTTATTTGTCGATGGATTTGCGCGAAAATCGGTATGTAGGGGTATTTTGACACGAGAAAAACGAATTTGACGTTAGATTTTCAAAAAAACCGAAATTTCCAAAATGGCCGCCGGTTAAAGTTCAAAATGACAAAAAATTGATTTTTTTATAAATCTAAGTTCAAATTTGTTTATCTTATGCCAAAATACTCTCAAATTCCAAGTTTTAGGCAAATCCATCAACAAATAACCGGTGTGAATTTTCGGCCATTTTGAACTTTAACCGGCCGCCATTTGGAAACGGTTTGAGATATTGACTTCGGGTTTGCGCGAAAAGTTTTCTTTTTTTATGCTCTTTCGAACGAGCTATCACAAAGGGGGTCCTCCCATTTGAAAATTAAAAGTTGGGGGCCGTTTCCCCCCAAAGGGGGGCCCCCTTTAAAAATTTTAGGGGGGCCAAAAAGTAGCTCCCTTTGACCTAGGAATATCCCCCAAGTTCCAAATCTTTACCTCAATTAGGTAAAAAGTTAGAGGGGGTGGAAGGGACTTTTGGATCACCCTGTATTTTGTCTTAATAAAATATGCGATAACTCCCTGTATTTTTTTGAGATTAAACAATTTGTAAATATCTGAAACTTTAATCTGTCTTAAAATTGTACGGTTCTGTCAAAGATTTGTAAATATATGTATGTTCATGTATTAAATGACATAAATGACAAGATAAAAAACTAGGAGTTTATAATAATAATGCGCAGATTTTTTTTTGTTTAAAAGCATGAAATGCAGTAATATGTCAGGCCTCGTTAGGAAAAGTAGAAGGAATGATCGGCGAGGATACATTTCACAATTTTTTTAGGGTAGATGGTTAGGTTTGACGACTTTTTCAACATACGCAATAGCTCTTTTTAGTTTGACCGAGTGAGTTAAAGAGGACAATTAAAACTTGTTCCAATGGAACATTTAATGCGATCTTGTAGCCTTTGTTTTTGGTGATGACATCAATCGAATTTGCCGAAGTTTGAAAATTTTGATCAAAATTTGGCAAATTTGATGGAAAATATTCGCCGGAAAGAAAAGAGACAAGATGTCGAATAGGAGGTTGACGACATCGTTAAATCAGTGGAAAAAACTTGAAATTTCTTTTTTAATGTATTATCGGGTAGCCAGTGCTGCGGATAAAAATGAAGATTTACACACATGAAAATGAATGTATTTATTTATAACTGTCGAAGCTTCTGATCTGGCCCTTGGCCATCGTCATGACTTTTCTAAAGAGTAAAGCGATTTAACACAATACAACACTTTAAGGAACATTAGTGCAAATGTAGCTTGTCAATGTTTGTGGTGGTTTTTGCTTAATTTTCTGACTTGGAAAAATGCAGCTATTTCAATTATTTATTTTATTTAAAAAATAAATTCGGGCGTAAATTTAGGGGCACTACAATCGAAAGTATAGTGTTTGCCGGGATTTCAAACTCAATTATGCTTATCAACGTTTGATTTCAACCGTAAAGGTTTACCATCGATTCTGCTTGAAAAGTAAAATTTTGATGTCGATTTAATAGACACATCGACTAAAATTGTAAATTTTTGAGTGAGATCCGCTAATAATGGGTCAAAGTCTGTTACAAAATCGGGTTTTGAGATTTGCAGCCTGCAGAGGAGCAGAATGTTTAAGGAGAACTGTCAAAACCAAACTTGTCCGAGGTTTAGACGATTCTCATCTCGGTGGCTTCATTAATCAGTAATATTCAATTATTCACATTTGGACAGGTTGCTCCACGTACATAATTGATGAAACCAAGGTAGAGAAAATCATTGTATTCATCACCGTGGTAGATGACAACCCTAAAGATGTTCCGGAGCGATTTCAAACTGTATCGAACATTTTCCCCTCAATCTGCGAGCCGCAACTATTTGAACACGATTCTTTGATACGTGTACACGGTCTAGTTCATCTTTGTTTCCTCAAGTGTTACACGACAGGAATTCCTTCCTCGCTATCTTTGCCACGTCTCACACTGATATCTCTTAAGTTCGGAGGGTCAATTTTTGTTAAACGGTAGACGTTGAATGGATAGATGGCAACACTTCATGCCCGATCACTAGTTTTCTCTGTTTCCGTTGTGGCACCGTTGATGACGTGCGCCTCAGGATGGTTCTCACCGGTGTCCAGAACGGTGCGATTGTCAAACTTGTACATCATCCCGAGATCCGCGAGCAGTCCGCGACGTTTCAAACCCAGCAAGATGCCAATCTTTGCCTTGCAATCCGGAAACACCTGGAAACTCTTGAGCAAAACGGATTTCAGCTCCTCATAATCAAGTGGGTCCACCGTGATCCTGATGATGATCCCCTTGTCCTTACGCTGTTTCACAAGGACATATTGGTGCTTGCAGTTGGGGGTCTCTGGACCTCGCACTAAGTCGAATTTCCGAGCGTCGGCTGCTAGAGTGAGCAAGGTGTGCGCTAACTCCTGCGCACCTTGTGGCACGCGGTACTTGAAAAGTGCTTTGATCGCATTGGAAAAGTTACAGAAGGACGCGTCCTCACTAGTAAGTTTCTCGAGGCTTTGTACAAAGGTATCAATGGCGTAATCGGTAATATTTAGTTTTTTGATGTAGTACGATCGGTCGAAGATAAGAGTCTTGATGTCTAACATAGCTTCAATGTTTGGCACGTAGAGTTTATTCTCGTCAACCAGTGAGTAGAAACCGTGGTCTAGGAGGATCTGTAGCACTAAATTCGTATCGATGGCGGTTTGATTTGAGTCGACGATTGTTCGTTTTAGATCCTCGAGATGCTTTGCCGGAATCTTCTGCCGGATCAAGATCCGTGTGTGATTGTCAAAGGTGTCTTCTACGTGGCGACCTGTCGTCTCATAATCTAGGAGGTTTTTCAGGGCTTTGAACTTTAAGGCCTCATTCCGGTACGGTTTCAGATCACCTGTCTTAAAATAGCTAATCGCCGAGCGAGTGTTGTAGAGTTTTCGCCCCTTGGGCGTTGTTTTGTAGTTGCCGTACCAATTTTGGATGTCCGTAATGTGTTTTTGGTCATCGAATCGTATTGCAAGCTCAGAAATATCATCCTCTGTAAGACCGAAATACCTGAAAATGGACGGAAAATTTTACTGTGCGTATTGTCTTGAGATGAAACGTAACCTTCGTAATACATAGCCTCTGACGGTTACATCTAAAAAGTCTACGGGCCTAATGAAATGTGTCTCTGCTTGGTCTAATATTAGAGCATTCAAAAGATATATCATAACAAAAAGTGAGAAATTGTAAAGAGATCATAATGATGCATGCTAATTTTCAAAAATTTAAGGCAGGTTCTCGGAAACTTCAATTTCTCCGTATCAATAATCATTTATGCTTCACATATGTACATGCATTACTACGATCATTGCAAGATTTACTTAATCCTAAGCGAGGATTCATCCTTGAAGTGTACAGTTCAGTAACAGTACCTCTAAAACTTGTCCATTAATTTTGATTTAACGTTTTTTGATGGATAAAGAAAACCAACCGGTGCAAAAATGGATCCTCGAAAATGGAGAAATGCATCAATTCGTCCGTGATTTCTAGTCTGAGATTCCCTGCAACCACGGTCCTGAAGACGAAACTGCTTTTAATGAGCAATTTGACGAATTGGGAAGCGCTCCACTTGATCCCCTTAAAACTTTGCTCGTTGAGGTGAGGCGCCAAAAGAGCCGCGCGAATGGGCACGTCAAAGTTGTCAACTAGAACTATTGATTTTCGATGATGATGTGCTGACAAGAGTTGAACTAGTCTCTCTCCGCCACGCACTACCTGAAAGAGCAGTGTTATGTAGTGTGACGAATGTGTTTTTTGTTGTTATTTTGTTCGTTCGACATAATGTGAGCGTATATGAAGATCTTAAGAATTCAAGATGCTATGTCAAGAGGGTAGGATTCTTGGAAGCTCTGTCAATTTGAAAACTTCAAATGCTCACTTCAGACAGGTTTTGACAAATTTTTGAGAGTTCCATGAATTTCTTAAGAATCGACATGTTTGAGAGAAAGAGTTAATAGTTACCTTAAATTAGAGCGGTTCCAAAGTACACTTTAAATTCGACTATAAATCGAAAAAAAAACAAGAGTTTATAGCTCATCGTGAAACGGAAATACTGTAGACAAGGTACTACTACTAGACATGACCTTATTATCAAAATATAGGTATTAACTTTCTTCTCTGCATGAAAAAATTGTGCTACCACCCAGAGAGTGTTAAATTCTACGTTTTCCGGGAAACGTTTACATGTGGCAGTGGACCCTGTGTGAAGTATTGTTCAATGTACATATAGTCTCTTGTAGCAATTGTAGGTTAAGTATTCTACAATAAATTCAGTCAATACTTTTGAGCTTTAAAAATAAGTCGCTACGTTAACGTATACACGTTGCAATCTTACTGAGCGGATACAAAAACATCATAAAATCTCGTTTTAAGAATATTTGCAATAGACTATCCTGAACTTGGCAATGCCTAAAATCGGTTTACGTACCTCTTCTATACCCAGTTCTTTATACCGGTCCCTGAAGCGTATAAATATATCCTTGTTGTTCTGCCCCAGTCTGCTGCTCTTTAACAAATACCGAAATTGGTCGAAGAGCTTCGCGATCATTATTTTAAAAGATCGTACGAAATCTCGATAGAAATTAGTGGGCAAAGCTCCAAAGTCAATCATGAGGACAGGATAACGAGCAAACTGGGTTTCGAATAACTCTGGCGACTCCTCGTATATTTTCAATGGCAACTTCGAGAAGGTATCATAGTTTTTTAGAGGATTCCTGGAGATGCCGAGGGCTCTAGTGACATTCACGTCGATGGACTGGCCTTTGGTGTCGATGACGAAGGCTCCGCGTTCTGTCGAGGTGTTTCGACGCCCTCCACACCTCTTCAAGGCTTCCTGAAAGGTTGAGTCAGTTTTCAGGATTTTTGCCGGGTTGATAGAGTATCCCATTGAGTCGACTTGCATGGCGAAGAAATCCCGAAGCATCTGTANGAAACTACTTTTAACGAGCAACTTGACGAATTGAGAAACGCTCCACTTGATCCCCTTAAAACTCTGCTCGTTGAGGTGAGGCGCCAATAGAGCCGCGCGAATGGGCACGTCAAAGTTGTCAACTAGAACTATTGATTTTCGATGATGATGTGCTGACAAGAGTTGAACCAGTCTCTCTCCGCCACGCACTACCTGAAAGGGCAGTGTTATGTAGTGAGACGAATGTGTTTTGTGTTGTTATTTTGTTCGTTAGACATAATGTGCGCGTATCAAGATCTTAAGAATTCAAGATGCAATGTCATTAGGCTAGGATTCTTGGAAGCTCTGTCAATTTGAAAAATTTAAATGCTCACTTCAGACAGGCTTCGACAAATTTTTGAGAGTTCCATAAATTTCTTAAGAATCGACATGTTTGAGAGAAAGAGTTTACGGTTCCCTTAAATCAGCAGCCTGATTGTTGAAATTGTTTGTTTGTCGGGACGACATAGATGACATAGGTTAAAAGACGGAGCGTGATTGGTCGGCTATGTCTTATCGCTACTTTGTCGTGCCTTTGTCAGGTGAAATGAATGACATACTTTCGGGAACTTAAGAGGTGCCGTTAGCTTGTCGTGTGTTCAACCCGACATAGGCATGACAAAGCAGCGATAAGACATAGCCAACCAATCACGCTCCGCCTTTTAACCTGTATCATCTATGTCGTCCCGACAAACAAACAATTTCAACAATCAGGCTGCCGAGCGGCTCCAAACTACACTTTAAATTCGACGATAAATCGAACGAAAACAAAAGTTTATAGTTTGTCGTGAAACAGAAAATACTATAGGCAAAATCTCTCCGAAAAGAGGGGAAGATCTAGACATGACCTTAATATCAAAATATAGGTATTGACTATCTTCCCTGCATGCAAAAATTGTGCCAACTCCCACAGAGTGTTAAATTCTACGTTTTCCGGGAATCGTTTACATGTGGCACTGTGGCTGGACCCTTCCTCTCATGAAGTATTGTTCAATATGCACAGTCTCTTGTAGTAATTCTTGGTTAAGTATTGTATTGTACAGTAAATTCAGTCAATATTTTTGAATGATCTTTAAAAATAAGTTACTACATAAACTTACACGTTGCATTCTTACTGAGCGGATACAAAAACATCATAAAATCTCGCTTTAAGATTATTTGGAATAGTCTATCCTGAACCTGGTAACGCCTAAAATTGGTTTACGTACCTCTTCTATACCCAGTCCTTTATACCGGTCCCTGAAGCGTAAAAATATATCCTTGTTGTTCTGCCCCAGTCTGCTGCTCTTTAACAAATACCGAAATTGGTCGAAGAGCTTCGCGATCATTATTTTAAAAGATCGTACGAAATCTCGATAGAAATTAGTGGGCAAAGCTCCAAAGTCAATCATGAGGACAGGATAACGAGCAAACTGGGTTTCGAATAACTCTGGCGACTCCTCGTATATTTTCAATGGCAACTTCGAGAAGGTATCATAGTTTCTTAGAGACTTCCCGGAGATGCCGAGGGCTTTAGTGACATTCACGTCGACAGACCGGTCTTTAGTGTCGATGACGAAGGCTCCGCGTTCTGTCGAGGTGTTTCGACGCCCTCCACACCTCCTCAGGGCTTCCTGAAAGGTTGCGTCAGTTTTCAGGATTTTCGCCGGGTTGATAGAGTATCCCATGGAGTCGACTTGCATGGCGAAGAAATCCCGAAGCATCTGTAGGTTGGTAGATTTTCCGAAACCAGGGGGAGCCTCGATGTAGATGTGCTTGCGAGTATCCAGGATGTTTCTGATAAGCAGGGATTTGTCAATGAATTCGCGTGTCTTCGTGAGGTTTTTAAACATGGCACAAGCAGGTGGTTCTCCGTCGGTATTTGAAGCTTCCTAAAAAAATAATATAATCAACCAGTTTAGTATTGAACGTCGCACAGAAACGTATTTTAATTTTTCAGAAGATACCTGGTGACTGTTGACACATTTTTAGATTTCTTTTTGTAACTTGAGCGAAGATTGCAAACATCTGTAAAAGCTTTGTTCTTATGCAAAGTCAATTTTATGATTACTTTTCTCCTCAAGTTAGATATTTTGAAATCAAGGGATTATATTTTAAGTAGAGTTCGTGCTTTTGTCGAAATACGATGAATTTAGCGTAGAACTGAAATTTTTCGCACTTTGGTAATATCACCAACCACCATTAAATTGATTAAGCGACTCGTGCGTTGAAACGTAATCTCTTAATAATAGATAATTTTTGCAACGTTTGCTGTGCAATTTGTCTCACGTAGAGTTTTGTTTCTTCATAAGCGGGGGGTTGAATTCACTTATCGAAAAACGTTAAGTATCCCAATTTGAGTTTAATTTTATCAATTATTTTCGGTGTCTGAATCGTCACCTAAGTAAAATTTTAATTAGAACGATCCAAGCCAATAGTGTTGTTTTACGCTATATCGCACGGTTATGAAGTGAAACGACCCCATTTTAATGTTCCACTCAAAATGTTTAGCTATGCGAAGAAAATGGAACCCCTTCTAAATAGAAATAACAAGGCAAGTGTGACTTACTAAAGCAGACGTAATAACAAACAGCAGTCGCAAAATCATCTTTTTGGCTCTTCAAGGGCTCCCATTTCCCGCTGAACTGTCTTGATTTTTGCATCTGATCCTCGAAACCTAACTCACAAAGTCATCACAAAGTGACGAGTTTTGATCTCTTTGAAACAAGAATGATCAGTTAACGATGGGACTGTTTGAAAAACAACAACAAAGTCGTCACAATCGAAAGCCTCAATAACCGACACTGCACTGCTGCCACAGTTCTTGGAATCTCCCAAACTCTATCGATGTATTACATCGGTTTTAAGATGAATAACGCTGATAATAGTACGGTAAGAATAGAGCTGGATTCAAATACATTATCCTCAGTATGATTTGTTTTAAAGAAAAAATCGTGATTTTTCTGAAGGTCCCCCAATCTTTTTTTGGCAGACGTTTTTACCATAGAACAATGAAAATCTTCAAAAAACTTCCGTCGCCATCTTTTTTAAGGTGCATATTTGTCTTTCTTTAGGAATGAAACCACTAATGTTTGATAGAATTGCCCCCTTGCTCAGTTTTCCGTCATTCAATGGATATCAAATTTTGCCAGTGAGTCTTGGCTGCCCATGACTTCGTTGTGCAAAAACAAATTCCGTCTTCAATTAAATAATAGGCTTGCTAGGAAAAATTGGCCGTGACATGCCATCTGACACCAAAACAGATGACAGAATTTCATAACCTTTTTGTGATTCCACATTCTATTTAATTTTGCACCACCGATGCCATTTCTGGTTTTTCGAATTTCAAATGTGTAGTACTCAGCACCTATCGGTAGCATCAGTACCTGTCGTCTTCAGAGCTTTGCCTGAGACATTCCCCTTTAAAATGAATTTAGGAACTAATTGAGTTATTTTAGCGGATTGAACCTATAAACAAGGGACTTAGACGTAATTTTCGTCGAAATGAAAAATATTTCAAAGGCGTACCTGATTATGTTCAACCTCGGCAATATTTTCAAACTTTGGCGTCAGAGATTTTTGGAAGCTTTTGCGTGACTTTGAAAAGTTTAACAGATCTAGCAAGAAAGCCTGAGTCGAAAGTTCAATTTAAGTTTCTAAACGGAGTAGACAGCTTTAAATTAAAGAGGAGAATGATCTTGATTGAATGATCTAGACACGATTCCAGGTGTGGACGTGCGTGTTTCAGTTGGCGCAGCGCGCAGTCTCCGCGAATCGATGATTTACAAACTCGCATACATGAACCCACAATTACAGTTTCCTTTTTATTTAGCTGCGTTCAAATATATTGAAAGATATTCTGCGCTAGAGTC